CCGAAATTCACCGCGTATTCTTGTGCTTTTCCGCGACGGGATAATTTTCGCTACTAGTGAGCTGTGGTGCTCATTCAGGGAAAAAAACCTAGTAGTTTCCAATGCCGTGTAGGTCTTTCTGCGTTATGTCTGATCGAAATTGTTTCCATTAAAAGAAGCAGATTTCGCGTTCGCCCGAAATTCTCCGCGGTCATGGGTTGCATGATGGCCAGGAGCCATCATGCAAGCTGGATGAAGCATGTATTGTATCTTCGTATAGAGCCTAGCCATACAACTTGAATCGTCCTCACCGCTCTGCGAAAGATGGTTTCTGAACGAAGTTATACTCTTTTAAAAAATACTATGTGAACGCAAGGAGCCAATAACACCCCAGTCTGAACAGGCGCGCAGCCGCAGTGCGCTCAATGTGTGGGCTTTGTGTTGATTCGCTTGGACGGCGTTATTGCGAGTTTTTTCAAAGCTCCACTTTGCGCCTTGAACTACTTAGAAACTAGTCCCTTCGGTTTTCGGGATTTTGTTCGATTAATTTGGTCAGTGCTTCAAGATACTTACCATTGATGGTCGGTAGGTCGAGGTGGCCATTTGTAGAGAGAAATACATTGCGGTGCATATTTTTAGACACAGAATTCAAATCTGCCTTCGAAATTTGCAGAAACGGAGTTATGGAGGTTTGTTTGAACAAAGGGACACGGAGTCCGGCGTGGTTGTCAGACGATTTGCTTGAATAGCCGCGACGCGCATTCCCAACCCTTCAGTATGGTGTAGTGGTAACGTTTCGCCTCAGATGCGTGTGGAGGTTCGGGTTTTGAGTGGGGTTACTCTTTGCATTTTGTGAGGAATATCTCTTTTGAGTCCAGAAAACATTCAAGCGTTAAACGGGTGTCATATTCGTGTTTGGGAAACGAGACTATCCCTGGGGATAGATGTCAGGTGTCAAATGTCAGGTTTTCACCTAATTTTGAAAAGTGAGGCAGCAGTTGGTGGAATGGGGGTTACCAGTGATTCCAGGACGGATCTGCTATCGACTGCTTGTCTTTGATCGGAATTTGCTTCTAGCTCTGGAAAACTCTAGCAGTAACAAAAGGAATGCGTCAAAAATGGCTGGTGTTTGTATACGAGAATGTATCTGTAGCTGAGTAGGCGTGAACATGAACTGAATTGCACTCCATGGTTTCACTTTTCGAAGTCAGTTTAAAAGCCAGGTTCAGCTACGAACTATGGGTAGTTTGACCCACACAGGAATATGGCGCTCGCTCAGCGCGAAGACGCCTATCATGGGCCACGGGCACAAGTGCAAAAATTCTTCAAGATCCTAAAGCGCTCAAGCGCACTAATAAGCGGACGCAAACTATTTTTCATGGAAGTTTAGTGGGCACCGATGTAGTTGTGACGATGACCACTTTTCCCCCATGTTCCTGCAAGAAGCAAAGAATTTTAACCTAGCAGAATCCGATCCCATGACCTGTTGTGCGGCAGACGCGTAGGAAAAAGCTCCACAACTCCGTTCAAAAAACGCTCTGCAAATTTCGAAGGCAGATTGAGATCAGCGTCCAAAATCACGTCCCAGGAACTATATCTTATTACAACGGCCACCTCGACCTGGCGACTTCCCAAGTTAGATACTGATTAGATAAAATCCACATGACACACAACATATACAGCTACATCCTGATGAACACATCAGGGATGTAGCTGTATATGTTGTGTGTCATGTGGATCTGTGGATCAGATACCTCCAACACACTCCACAAGGGGACAAGGGGGAAGTCATAGACCCCCCCCCCAATTTTCCGCAACGTGATGCTTGACCTTGGTGCGCTCGCATCGATGGTTTAGGCGCATAAGCAGACGTAACAAATACGTAACGTCCAGAACTGCACAGTGGTTTGTGGGCGAACTTGTGCATACTCCAGTAGTTTAGAATCACCCCATATATATAATTCGCTTTGTCTGTTTGTTGTTTGTTTGTTTGTAAGTTTGTCTGTCCGGAAATTCGGTTCGACCTGAAGAACGACTTGGAGAGGTCCAGTCAAGGTGGGGATAGGTAGGGCATGGGACAAGAAATAAAAAGCACACTTGACCTATGGGAAGCCCCGCCCACAGTGGGCGGGGCACTCGCCGAAAGTTTGGGGTTCCGCAGAAAAATGTTCATAATTCGCTTCCGGAGCAGCTTAAAGATGGGGAAAAAAGGGACTAAGGTTAGTAAGGAGTCGCCAGACTAACTGTGGCAGGTACACCCTAAATGGGCGGGGCGTACTCAAGGTGGGCGGTGCTTCTCGCAAAATTCAGTAACCCGGTTCGCGAGAGTGTTTGGAAGTCGCAAAAAACTCAGTGTAGAATGTAAATATCCGGCGAATATAGGGCACGCTCAAAGTGTGTTGAGACCCGCCCACAGTGGGCGGAGCTTGCCCTAAATCGCAGGGTATTCATTTTAAAAGTTTGTAGCTCGGTTCCAGAACACTCCAGATACCGGAAAAAAGTGGATTAAGTTCAGCAGAGGGTCGTCGGTTAAGATTGTGGGGCAAAAAATTGTGGGCGGAGCCTGCTCCGAGGTGGGCGGAGCCAGACAAAAGGGTCTGTAAAACGGTTCCAGAACACTCCAGACACCGGAAAAAAGTGGATTAAGTTCAGCAGAGGGTCGTCGGTGAAGAATGTGGGGCACAAAAATTGGGGGCGGAGTCTGCCTCGAGGTGGGCGGAGCCGGACAAAAATTCTCTAGAACGGTTCCAGAACACACCACACACCGGAAAAAAGTGGATTAAGGTCAGCAGAGGGTCGCCGGTGAGGATTGTGGGGCAAAAACATTGTGGGCGGAGCCTGCTCCGAGGTGGGCGGAGTCAGACGAAGAATCTGTAAAATAGCTCAAGAGTACTTCAGACACCGGAAAAAAGTGGAGTACAGAACAAAAGGCGGATATCAGTTGAGTCTAGAAATATGTGAAAGAAAGCACGCGCGGCGAAGCCGCGCCCGCCCGTATCAGAAGGAGCCGCGCCGGCGTCAGCCGGCGAGGCGACTGGTTTTAGATGTTTCGAATAAAAGGCAACATTCTGCAGGCTCTCATGAAGTTACTGTTGTTTGAACCGGAGCTATGAATTTGATGACCTGTACCTTCTAACGCCCCTTATCAGATCTTATCAACTGTAATCGCTTCTTAGTAATGTTTTTTCTTGTCCCACACCCTATACCATACCTTGGAACCATCGTCCCACTGTTGCTGTGTCCCGCACTATGGACTCGGTGACTCTCCTTTCTAACGCCTCTTATCGGATCTTATCAATTGATATCACTTCCTGTCACCCACCAATAGTGTCCCCGTCGAGAGGACGACTTCTTCTCGATCCACTATTCATGGCGTTTTGAGAAGGAACGGCTTTCGCGCAGCTCTGCCCGGAACTATTCTACGGTCTCTTGCCGCAAGGGTCGATCTATGCCAGAAGCTCTTCGATCGAGAAAGAACGACGACTTGAGCGAGTTTCATAACTGCTCAGAATGAACGAAAACCCGGATAAGAAACTGGAGTGGTTGCCGTTGGACCAAAAGCCAGAGCCCGTTCCAAAGCGAGGATGCCACGCCAAGAAGGACTTGCTCTCGTTTTTCTTCTGCTCCACCGGCTGCATTTATTATGAGATTCGTCATGAGGGTACTACTGAAACATCATCGATATTCTTTGAGCAACTACGAGAGCTGGTGTCCAGAGCTCCAGTTTCACATCAGTACCGGGGCAAATTTCACATCGACATGGACAACGCCCGGCCACATCATGCGAAGGCGACAAGGGACGAGCTGGAGAATTTAGGAATCGAATGGCTGCCCCATCCTCCGTATTCACCTGACCTTAGCCCTTGTGACTACCATGCTTTCAGGAGTCTCCAGGCTTACGCTACGGGTAAGATGTTCAACAACCATCAGGATGTCAAGCGTATGGTCGATGAATGGATTGCGTCCCGGCCTGCTTCCTTCTGGAAGGAAGGTATCGATGCCCTGCCCAATCGGTAGAGAGACGTCGTGGCTAAGAAGGGCCACTATCTTGATTACTGATTTTTCGCTTTTCTTGTTGTTAATATGTGTTGAATAAAATGAGCGAATTTTCTCAAAGTTTTCCGGACACCCTAATGGTAGGATAATGCGCACGTCACGCACACGTGATTGATCCGTCACCACGTGGTTGATCCATGCAAACGAACTACGGAAGGATCAAACACGGGGTTGAAAACATATGCATCAACGTAATATTATACAAGGTGTTGAACAGGAACACTATGGATGGGTGGCAATAACTGTCAGCATAAGACACGATAAGGGGAGTTAGGTCGGATTACCTTATTCGCAGCGCGGGTCACGGCATGAGCGAGGCGCTGTTTCCAGCAAACGACCTAGATGGTGAGATGGGGACAGCGACGATGAGTGGCAGAAAATGTGCGGCATGCACCTGCAACCGCAACGCTCTTCATGTTTACCGTTGTTAAGCGCAGCGCCTTGACGTGGTGAGATCTCGCCCAGGAGAGAGCGCTCCTCTGCTCGTCGCGATTGCACACTTTGCCTATAGCAGCATTTTACGAATGAACAGAAAAGGAAATTAACTGATAGGGGGTGATAAGGGACGTTTTCATAGTCGTCGTTGTTCGGTTAGGTAGAGCTTTTACTCTACCAAATTATAGAGATTAGGTGACAGGGACATTGATGACGGGTAACAGGTAACAATATCAATTGATAAGAATGGATAAGAGGTCACACCATCTTTCTTGCCATTTCTTACCGCTGTACTGCCAATTAGTAGAAGCTCATTGTGTGAACGCTTTCCTTAAGCAATCGTGATGTAAACAGAATCGAAGTCAACTACGGAGCTGTCTGCTCTCACATGCAGTACCTGTGTGTAGACGAGCGGATTCATTGTGCGTCTGAAACGGTAAAATAGGTAATCGAAAAGATGCCGGTCGCAGTCAAACCAAAAGGAAGGGGATGTACGAAGTTCAATGTGAAGTGGTGAAGATATCTTGTCGATGGCAGCAAGCTCTACGCAGGGTTGCCCTTGTGGTGCGCGCGAAGTGTGCGTCGCCAGCGTAGTAACTTACAGGACGTGAGGCGCAAGAATATTCCAGTTCTCCCAACCAAAGTGTTGAGTGGTAATTGTCTCGTTTTGTAGCGCGTACAGAAAAGTTGGGGGCCAGATTCAACGTCAATGTTTCCACAATTTTCCAGTGCTTCCGGTTGAGTTGCATCAGAAGGTGAGCATTTTTGTGGATATCGATAGCTCAGAAGAAAGTCAAACAACTTCATTCACTGCAGGTTATTTTTCGGTCTATGTCCTTGTTATAATAGACTCTTCTGAATGTAACTGATGAAGAGGCACCAATGTGTTCTATTGTAGTAAACTCCAAAGATTGAAAAGAATTTAGAATTTCCTGTGAAATTTTCCCTCAAATATTTCGGTGCATAGAACCTCCTTCTGCATAGCGATCTGGACACTATTATGGTGTAGCTACCCTACGGACGATAACCCCGCCATTGAGTGTTGACGAGTCATTCTTGAGTCAACGCTCTAAGACGAATCCTTTGTATGAGAAGCTTCTACGTAATAGGGTCGTGGTCGCTGAGCAAGGTAAGAAGCACGGAGATATTATGAGCATGAACAGGAAAATTTCGCAAGAATTCCTCTGAGTGGACTTCTCCGTGCTTCTTCATATTTTTGCATTTGGATTCATGTGTAGTATTCGGGGACAGCATAACACCATAATGCCTTAATGTTCAGAACCCACTCCCTTTCGTAGTGGAGCAGCTAGTGTACCTCCTGTTCACCTACGAGATCTGGAAAATATACCTGTAAGTTGCTTATTCCTCTATCGAGTAATTTCTCATTTAAGGTTACTAGCTGTTTATTTACTCGGATCCTTGAGGAATTTACTCACAATAAGCAAGCTTATTCAGTGGAAGCTCAGGAGTTGTATCACCCACCTTGATATATTGGGTCATCTCATTCAAAAACCCTCCAAAATGGGATTAATCAACGGCGAGGACTTTGTCCTTTTGTCCGTCCATGGAGCGCATTCATTTCAACAACGATTCCAGAGAGCAAAAGGTTTTCTGCGTATCCTAATCTTCAGTTAGTTTTTAAGCCCTTCCTGTCCAAGCAAAAACACGCAGGAAAGCAGTAAGAAATACAATTTGCAGCGTTAGAGGCGAGGGTGCGCATTATGGTCCAAAAACAAGGAACATCAAACCAGCCTCTTCCTCACAGGGAAGCTGTCCACAGCTAGAGGGATTCCGTTTAATAATATTACAAACCAACTCATTTTTTGGATAAAGACGACAACAAATACCTACTAATTCGATTATATTCGTACAGTTGTTCGATGCTGAGCCTGTTCATTAACTTCTTTTGAGTGTTTTGAGGAATCGGTCAACGAGGTACTTCTATGACCTCCAACGTTGTTAGCTAACCGGAACAAATGCTTCATGTCCATATAAAGTTGAGCTTCAGGTACACAGAAAATTTTCCTCTTCGAGAGTAGGGATGCACAAATCCTACGAATGCAGAGGTGTTTCCTAAGGCGTACCTGAGGTTGGTGATGTGTCACTGAAAAGCCTTATTTCGGTTACAGAGCAACTCCGAGACGGGGAAAGTGGGATAAGGTTAGCAAAGCTTTCACAGACCATATGGAGGAAACGCAGCCGAAATGGGTGGGGCATACTTGATGGTTGGTGGTGTGTCACCGGAAAAGTCGTACTCCGTTACAGAGCAACTCCGAGACGGGGAAAGTGGGATGGTTAGCAAAGGGTTCGCAGACCATATGGAGGAAACGCAGCCGAAATGGCGGGAATACTTGAGGTTGGTGGTGTGTCACCGAAAAGTCGTACTCCGTTACAGAGCAACTCCGAGACGGGGAAAGGTGGGATGGTTAGCAAAGGGTTCGCAGACCATATGGAGGAAACGCAGCCGAAATGGGCGGGGCATACTTGAGGTTGGTGGTGTTCCGATCACTGAAAAGTCGTACTCCGTTACAGAGCAACTCCGAGACGGGGAAAGGTGGGATGGTTAGCAAAGGGTTCGCAGACCATATGGAGGAAACGCAGCCGAAATGGGCGGGGCATACTTGAGGTTGGTGGTGCTTCCGATGTCACTGAAAAGTCGTGCTCCGGTTACAGAGCAACTCCGAGACGGACGGGGAAAGTGGGATGGTTACCAAAGGGTACGCAGGCCATATGGAGGAAACGCAGCCGAAATGGGTGGGGCATACTTGGGGTTGGTGGTGTGTCACGGGAAAGTCGTACTCCGT